CAAACTTTCTGATCTGTCGGACTGACTCAAACAAACTGTATGACTGATTCCTCAGGAGTTGCTGGACGACGCAGACAACTGCCGGCGAAAGATGGAGGCTGCCACAACGCTCATCAGTGGTCTGGGCGGTGAGCAGGTGCGCTGGACAGCCCAAAGTCTGGAGTTCAGGGACCAGATCACTCGGTGAGGGGATAGAACAGGGTGCACATAGCGTCTGACACATCGATACCCTAAAATAATAAAGTTCTGTCTGCTTAGTACCCAGTTTTTAGAAATGTGACGTTTAAGATTTTGAGTTACACAACATGTCAAGCTTTTTCGAAGGCAATTCTTTGAGTACAGGGTGATAAAAAAAAACAAACCTTTATAACTTTTTTGGTTAATATCTTCCTCCACACTGAGGTTTTGCGTTTCAAATTTGTACTCAACATTTGGAAGTCAAAAGAAATTTGTCTGATATTCATTTTACATAAATCCACAGAACAGTTTTGCTTTACATAGCGCGCACAAAAACAACCCATTTTCAGCTATGTCCCCATTTTTGTAGCTTGACGCACCAGTTCGCATTAGGCCTACCACTAAAAATCCCTACAATTGGACCGTATTGCAAATTACAGCAGTCTAAAAGGGAAACAGAAGTTTGCAGATAGTTTCTCTCAAGTTTCCTTGGCCTGCTGAGATTATGGTTAAGATTAGAAAAGAGCAGAGAGCTTTTTGTAGTGAACATTTCCTCACCACCAACTCATTTCATAAGTTTCGCACAAGGCACGAAAATAATGTTAGAGTGCCTTTAAGGCATTCTTTGATGTCAAGGGTGAAAGTGGTCATTCAGTTAGGACCTAATTCCCAGACGAAACGACCACTTCAGGTCAAACACATACCGTCCGCATCCCTTTTAACGTCACCAGGGTGCAGAAGTCAGTAGATGAGCCATATGAGACGTCCATAGACAATGTCTGCAGCAATGACTTTCCTACATCTCAACAGTCTGCATTCTCAAGGAAGACCTTCATCTACAACTGTATGCCATTTTCCCGTTCGCGAAGCTATCAGAGGACAGCAATGTGTTCATGATTCCTCGATCGTCTTGAAAATGCGTGAAAATTTCCTCTGTGACATTTTGTTCCTTGGCAAAGCCCATATTCACCTTTCAGGCTATATCAACTCCACAAGTGCTGTCTATTTGGGCAACCCCCCCCCTCCCCCTTATATTGTCTCTACAAACAACTCCACACTGTTATTGTGTACTGTTTGTGTGGCTTTGAGTACTCACTGAACATTACGAACTGCGCGTTAAAATGTGTCGAGTCCAAAGCAGGGTGTCATTTAGACCATTGCTTCTTGGAATTCCTGAATTTTAACATTTTTTAAAACTCTGTAGGAGAAAAAAATATTATTTAAAGGTTACAGAGATGGAAAGATTAGATTATACGCGCTCGTAAAAAAATCATGGAAAGGAAAAAACCAAAAAACCCAATCTTTCCATGACTTTCCTTACTACATCTTTTAAATGGGTGCATTTTGCATTTATAGGTAGTTTTTATAAACGCCATTTCCGTTTTCGAAAATAAGTTTCTTCTTTGTGAATTTTATGTCAAACAAATTCCTTTTGAATGAATTATATCTGTTCCAAATTACAACAGTCTAGTACAAATTATGTTGTGCGAGACATTTAGAAAAAAACGTTGTACATGTTTGGGTTTTTTTTATCACCCTGTATTTTGATAACGACTCCGAATAATCTTACGATTTTGATAGAGCAGATAGAACACATGGTTTCTGACCTCATGGTCTTAGTAACTCAAAACAGCCAAAAGTTTCAGACAGAACTTTGTACTTCTAAGGTAGTGACATGGTGTGGACACAGGGAAGGGTACATAGCGTTGGCTAGATGTCCACATGCACTAAGCCAAGTATTTGGAAAAAAAAGAAACAATTTTGTTACAGTTTCTTAATCTGCCATATCGGCTGCGTATACTCATGCTGCATAACTTTTAATAAGTTTCATGAACTCTAATTTCTCTTCAATTATCGATAGGAAATCACCAAATAGAAGAGGGTGAGCTACGCATATTTTTCAGCAAACTAAGCCCAAGAGTTTCAGACCCAGCAGTCACATGACCGTGGTTTGTTACAACAATGTTTCAAATTCACTTCCCACCTGGCGTGTAACTTTTTCATTACCCTTTGTTAACTCTCAGATTGAGAAAGGCGTAAATATCGTTGTTAACAGCTTCAAATATTCTAATTCCTGAAAACAAACGGTGGTAGAGAAAAAAACACTGAGTCAATTCTTTTATAACTAGTATTATGTGACATTACATCTCTTGCTTTTTTTCAACATTTAGAAAATAAGGAAATGCGTACAGCATTTCTATTAATTATTGCTGCTGCTTATTATTATTATTATTGGTTGTTGTTGTTGTTGTTGTTGTTGTTGTTGTTGTTGTTGTTGTTGTTGTT